AAAATATATAGAAAATAGGAAAGAACTCGTTAGCTAAATAATCCAAAGTTCTTTAGTATTTTTGTTATTATTTTTTTTTAAATAGTGCTCGATACAATAGTAGAGCATAAATATAATTATTTATTTAAAACAGAGCTTACTTTAATTCAATTTAATTCAAATAATTATATTGAAGTTTTCGGCTCTTGTTTTGAAACATGAGACCTCTTATGTAGCGTGTTGGAATCATATTTTTAAATAACTAATTATATATATATATATATATATATATATATATATATATATATATATATATATATATATATAGCCCAAAAAGTTGTCAGAACCGACAAGTTGTATCTATTTAATTTTTTATTACATCTTTGCAATTTTCTGGTAAGAAATAAGAGTATTGTGCTTGAAGCTGTGAATAAATCGTCCGAATTTCGTATATTGTTATTTTTATTCAAGTACTTTCGATTTCAGCAGTCATTATCAAGAACAAATGTGGTGTCTGTGTAGTAGTTATAAGTCCTTTATTTACATCCTGATATAATTTGGGAAGCTGAACGTTCAAAATGGTCGAGTCTGACATCATGTCTGACGGCTATTGGAAAGGAGATCATTTCAAACGTTCAGTACTTGAACAAAAATAACAAAATATGACTTTTCTACACATCTTGGAGCACAATACTCAACAAGTTATCTGAAAACAGAAAAAAATACAATCAAAAATTAAACAAACAGACCTTGTTAGTTCTTTTTAATCAAACTTGTTTGGATGAATAATTGCTGCCTATATATTATCATCATTTATTCAGCTATCACATTTTGCGCCACTCTGGTAACCACTCCCCCAACCCACACACCACACAGCTGTGGTTCATGGTGACATACAAGATAGAATATAGCAGTGGCTTACCGCTTCCTTTTACCCTGGGAATATTGCGGTTGGCCCATCCCTCCTCGTAAAAGTTAATAGAGGCAGACCTACAAGTGTTTTCAAATTCATAGTTTTCCTTCCATTAGACTGGTTGCCAACCAAGGCGCTATTATCCAAAATTTTGATCCGGTCGTTCAACGAAAACTGGAACAATGCGATGAAAATTTAAACGGTGTTCATATCGGTTGAATTTAACAAAACATTGAGCACACTGATGCAATATATATATATATATATATATATATATATATAATAAACGTTGTTGCCTCCCCTGACGTTTACATCGTAAAATTTCAACCGTACATTACATAGCGTTTTTCATATCGCAGTTAAAAAATTTTAACTTTCAGAGAAACAAAAGAGTTTTGTCGTAGGAAGAAAAAAAAACACTCTGATGATGACATTGTGGTAATGTCGAAAGTACTCAGAATGAATAACTATGTATCAACATGATAATTTTCTCTCTTCCTTTAATAAGGATACTAAGAGACTTGTCCGTGAATATGACAGTGTCTTATTAAAAATAAGTAGGCAAAACTTTTTCTAAATTATTCAATGAAACATGTCTTAATATTTATATTAACACACACACACACACACACACATATATATATATATATATATATATATATATATATATACACACACACATATATATATATATATATATATATATGTGTATGTGTGTATGTGTGCAATATTTTACTCAGAATCTCACCATCAAAACAATTCTGACTGCAAACAAACGACAGGGTCGCTCTGTTTAATTTTTTATTAGATTTTCCACTTTTCGGATAAGCTGCTCGAAATCGTGGATAAACAGCTCGACGTTCATATGTTGTTATTTCTCTTAAAAAATGAAATAAAAAAAATAAACAAAATAAATAAATGTTATTCTTTTTATGCGGCCTCGTTCCCGAGAGTCGTTAACACATGACGCCAAGCAAGACCACTTCAAACTTCCAGCTCCCCACCTCAAAAAATACCAGGATAGCGACAAAGGAATTCTATCTGCCACATAGACACCAAATTGGTTCTTGATAATGACTGCGATAGTAAAATATGATTGGACAAAAATAACAAAAAAAAATTCACAACGTTTATCCAAAACTTCGGGCACAATACTCATGTTATCCGAAAACTGGAAAAATACAATAAAAAATGAAACTTGGATGAATACTTGCTGCCTAAATATACCTTAAATATACATACATACATACATATATATATATATATATATAATATATATTTAAAGGAAAGATATTAAGGAAGTTATTAATATTATATATATATATATATATATATATATATATATATATATAATAACTTTTAATAAAGTGAAATATGTTACATTAAGATCTGTCTTCTACTTGTTCTTTATCCTATCATTTTGTCGTATTCCTCTCCATACTATCTCTCTCTCTCTCTATATATATATATATATATATATATATATATATATATATATATATATATATATATATATATATAGATAGATAGATAGATAGATAGATAGATAGATAGATAGATAGATTTTAAAACACAGGAATGTAATAATCTTACAGTGTCCTTTTCACCTCGTCAAAATAAGTCGATAAGTATTAATTGATAAAAAAATTCTTTTGCGAGAAAATTTAAGGCGAGAAAAATAAACTCCGGCGAAAAGACAAATTTACTAATGAAAACGAGGTGGGGAGAAATATACTGACAAAAGTTACCATGTGAAGGGATCCTAGAGAGTTTAAATTGAAAAAAAATCACTCACATACCTACGAAAAAACCGAGAGAGCGAAAAATGCTTTTTCAGTCTGCACTAAAGACAGTTGCTGTAATTTAATAAAAAATTGCTTCTAATATGCGTGGATACTGAACGGATGGTTTAGTAAATGCTGACCAATGGCAGACTGTGTACAACGCATACTGCTATTAAAAATATCCTGTCTTATATTCACAGGATCATGTACGATCTGTGTTTCTCGCCGCTGATTGGTTTATCCTACATAATCTACTTTGCACTGGCATTCGAATTTATAAACAACTGAACTACTTTGAAGGTAGGACAAGCCATCTTTGACAAACAAGGGAACAACCGAATTCGTTCCAAAGACAACACGTAACATAACTGTCGAATGAGCCTACATAATGCAGTCCGCCTCTCTCTCTCTCTCTCTCTCTCTCTCTCTATATATATATATATATATATATGTAGTTTATGAAAAACTAGGTAATCCGTATGGGTAAACCTAAGGAGGATAAAATCCAGAGAGGTCAATGTAAACCAGGGCAAATAATTTAAATAATAAAACAGACCACTTTAAGGTTCCATGTAATAAATTATCTCACCATAGCTGTGGTGAAATAATTTATTACATGGAAACTTAAAGTGGTCTGTTTTTATTTAAATTTATATATATATATATATATATATATATATATATATATATATATATATATATATAAAGAAATATAGTATTGGTGTGCTATATTTATGGGATAAAGTGCTGAATATCAGAGATAGAGCGTGTAATATGTAAATATAGAAGTGAACATAGGCGATAAGCTTGTTATATGCAATCGTCAGGTCTGACGATTGCATATAGCGTGAAACAGACTGTCGATTGCATAAGTGTTGACTTCTATGTTCACTTTTTTTATATATATATATATATATATATATATATATATATATATATATATATATCTTTTCTCTTCTCTCCTTCCCTTTTAATATAGCTTTTCCGTTAAGTTAACCGATTAAATGGCTGGTTCCTCCTTCCTCAATATTAAGTATGATAGAAAGAAATATCAAAATAAACCCTCTCTAAAATCGACTATGTCTCTCACACCACTCCTCTCTACACTCTCTGTTAGATTACATAAACTTAATACTACCCGTCAAAAGTGTAAATTTTCATTTCATTTTTTTCGTTTCAACTTTTTGGAACTGATGTCTGATGATCCAGCGGCCTTTTAAAGGTCTCTGGTGAAATAAATTATTACACTTAAAGTGGTCTGAATTTACATTGAGCTCTCAGGATTTCATCCGCTTTGAGACTACCCATACAGATTACCAAGTTTTGTAACTTATATATATATATATATATATATATATATATATATATATATATATATATATATATATATAGATATAGATATATATATATATGAATAATGAGATGATAAAGATAGCCCAATTAAGTCTAACACACTGGGATAAACGTATGCATTTATAATATGGGATGAGCACACAAAAAGAAAAAACACCTCCGTGGTTATCGCAATAGTTTGAGTAAATGTTAATTAAGACGCAAGAAAGACAAAATGTGAAATGCGTCTGAATATTTTTCCTAACGTCATAGTCCCTGTGATAAGTTGCAAGGCACTCAGTGAGGATAAAATTCATTATCAATAGTGAGTAAATCCTGAATGTGGCACTAGGTTGGGAACATGCGCATATGGTCGGGTAGGAATAAACTTAAACAGTTATTTGAAAAGCTTAGTTGCCGGATATCCCAATATCACTTGGGGGGAGATAAAAATCACTCGGCTATTCATAAACATTGAGATTAGCTTATTAATCGCTATTCCACCAACGGGCGTCGAACTTATTTCAATACAGACATAGTTTAGATAGATAAATAAATAGATACGAAAAGATGTTAATATCAGATAGATAGATAGATAGATAGATAGATAGATAGATTCGAAAAGATGTTAATGTCAGATAGATAGATTCGAAAAGATGTTAATAGCAGATAGATAGATAGATAGATAGATAGATAGATAGATACGAAAAGATTTTAATAGTATATAAATAGATACGAAAAGATTTTAATGTAGATAGATGCGAAAAGAGTTTAATATTAAATAGATAGATAGATAGATACAACCAGATTAGATAGTGATCTAATGAATGAAAATAGATAGATAGATAGATAGATAGATAGATAGATAGATAGATAGATAGTGAGCGAAAATAGATATATAGATAGTTCAATGGGGGAAGATAGATAGATAGATAGATAGATAGATAGATAGATAGATAGATAGATATTAAATGACCGAATATAGATAGATATTAAGTGAGCAAAGACATAGATGGATACACAGATATTAAGAGTGCAAAGATAAATACATAGATATTAATAGATAGATAGATAGATAGATAGATAGATAGATATGGATGTACAAACTGAATTAGAACAGTGTATGACATCTGTGTAAGTAATAGTAAATACAGTTGAATGATCAAAAATTCAACTTCAGCTGGAGGTGGCCGGCTCGTTGCTTTAGTGAGGGAATGATAAATTAATATTCAGGGTCGGATGGACTTTTATTACTTTTGTTGGCTTTGCCTTCTTCCGGGTCACTATGACCCGTCGCATATCGTTCGATAAGGAACCGTATCTTGAAATGCGTTCAGTTTCATCTCTTTTCTTTATCATTTTTTTTTTATCCATTTTACTTATGTGTGCTGAATCTTGGAACAATACCCTCATGAATAAAATGAAAATTATCGGCTCTTTTGTTTGATTTCTGTTTTGCTTATTTAAATTATTTATTTATTTCTTCTTCTCCTGCTTCTTCTTCTTCTTTATTAATATAATTATTAATATTTATATTAGTATTGTTATTTTTCTTGTTTTTTGGGGATTTTTTTTATTTTGCCGCTAGAAATCATGTCTGGTGTATATCAAGGATTTTATGTAATACTATCGTCTGACTTTTGAGGACTTTCAGCAGCAGCGACAACTCAAAGGAATAGCACGTGTAACACACGAAGAGAAAATAATGAACTAATCAAGATTTTAAATTTCCACACAATTTCGAATAAAAGGTTAGGAAGGAAACCTTCATCAATACTGGAAAGATCGATAGCAGTTACTGGATTTGAGAAACTTATTTTCATGAAATATTGATGAGTCAGTAACGATAATTATTGGGTCAATGAATTCCGAATGTTTCCTTATAACGTAACGTTTAATATTATTACTAGCAGCATGGCCAGGCGTTGCTCGTGCTTGATTCAAAAATCGCACGACTCATACAGCAATCGCTATCACTTGACTTAAAATATTTTTGCCCTTCCTTGACTTTAAAGGAGTGCCCTTTGCCGTGCTGATGTTGCTATATGCCTTACTTCTTGCCTATTTCACACTGCGAATTTTTTCGAAGCTCTATGCTAAACGTTAAATCTGTTACGAAAAAAGAACTAAACAAAATGAACACAAAATGATCAGCTTTTAAAAAAGGACTCGTAACTGGAAAAACCGAATGAAAAATGAATGTTAACAACAAATACTTTTTCACACCCAACCCAGTTCTGCGGAATCAGAATCAACGATGAGTTTAAGCAAGCGAATGAGCCAATTGGAGTAAAATGCCATGCAGATTTAAAATTTTCCCACTCGTGACGAATGCAGCTATCGATTTTTTTTTTTTTGCATGCTATTATGCTAGTTAGCATTCATGTCAGTCAGCTGTTGGTTCTCACGCTGGCCAATAGAATCTTCCTGCCTATTCGTGGCAGCCAGCTATTGGCTCTCACTCTGGCCAGTACAAAATGGCCGCAAACTACATGAAAACTGCATGAAATGAAGCATGAAAAAATCGATTATTTCCACTATCGATGGGAATCGGTCTTGTCCTTGGAGCATATGCATGTAAATTTTGGTGCAAATCCGTCGAAAATTGCGGCCGTGCATTTGTTACACACACACACACACACACACACACACACACACACACACATCCTGCCTTTTATAGATCGAGATTATTGTTACCTTTCGGGGAATATCTAACAGAACTATGTATTTAAAATATAGTAAGAGATTTCTGTCGTTCCCTGTCGATATCTAGGGATACTGCTTTCTTACAAAATCAAGATATCGACGTTCCACACTACTTCAAATAAAAGGCTAGGAAGGAAACCCCTATCAGTACTTTAAAGAGCGATAACAGCTACTGGACTTGAGAAGCCTATTTTCCTGAGAAATAGTTTTAAGAGAAATATTTTATAAATTCGAACCGATAGCGGCACTGGCGGCTCGATCAGTGAATTCCGTGCGTTTCCTTAAAAGGAAACAGCTTATATTACCATTAAAATTACCATTTTTAAGATGAAAGGAATTAACGGCTTATAAGTTGACATCAATAATATGGATTTTTACAAAGCGCTAATTAATATCAAGCCCAGTTTCCGCATTATATTCCCTAGAAATTTCAACTGTTTCTGGTGTTAAGTATAAGCAGCCTTTTTTGTTTCCATTTGCACTATTATCAGTCTTCTTATGTATGACCACATTGTTGTTTCGTCAAGTCTATTCTTCTCTGTGAGGAGACAGTTCAACATTCACTGCCATATAGAAGGACTAATATTACATAACCGTTCAGTATTCTTTCCTTTGTTTCTAACAAAATTTTCCTGTTTTTTAATACTTTGCTTAGTTTTTGAAGACACCTTTCACTGTCCTAATTGTACCTTCGGATTTCGATGTCGTAGTTTCCATCCTCTGTTAAAATACATAGCAATTCAAATTAAGATAAAAAAACATTAATCAAAAATTAATTGTGATTAATAATGCTTTATCGCATGGTACATGTTCAAGGATATTATAACTAGTGATACAATTCTTCTTTTTCTATGTGTCGTGTCTTTACAGGGCATTGGCGATCATCTCCACAATTTCATGTCTTTTAATGTAATAAAACGTAAGTAAAACTGAGATGAATTAAATATTAGGGAATAAAACTGATAATGGCTGTCCAAGCTTCATTTAAGGAATTCTAATATTAATCCAGTTCAGTCTTTGAACGAGTGAAACCAGAGAATAAATATCATAATTGTTTTTTTTGGCGCTACATAATCACAAACAAAAACTGTACCAAAGAACCGAAAGCACATCACCTGAAGACTACCGACGCAGGTAACAGCTAAAATGTATGTCACATGCAACTTGAAGAAAGAAATTGAACCGATATCAAAACTGGCTATTCGGGCAATGTATAGGGAATGTTTCCTTATAAGGAAACAATTAAGATCGCCATTACTATTAGAATTGAAAACTTTAGAAAATTATTTATATCTTAATCGTAACATCAAATTTTATTCAACGTTATTTACCGTTGGCCATTGTCTGGGGGCTGCGTATGTGTGCGGGCGTATGTGTTCAGGTTCCCCTTCCGAATGTAGACTACATTTTCGTATTGATGTAAGAAATTCTCTTTCCTTTGTTCTGGATCTTTCTATAGAGACTTACTACGCGTTGCTTAGATATGACACAAGGCCAAATTTCTGGAACAACAAGTGAGGAAAAAAAAGTCACCACTCAGTCGTAATGAATGGATCTATTGAGGCAAACTTACGAGCCATCATACCACGTCGAAGTGGTTGGGTGGTTATATATATGTCTGAACGCAGATCTCTCGGCCACATGTTCACCTCTCGAGGTCAACATTGATATATTGTAAGTCCCGGATCTGCAGTGGGAGGCCAGAAGGTCATCCTTATTAGTCCCTGTCGTCACACAGAGTGAAAGTATATTCCCTTCGTGTGTAGCGTGTCTGGCACAGTGCATCTCTCCCCAGGGAAAAACGCAGTTGATGTCCTCGAAATTAAAAGCTCGCTTCGTGACACGTGATCGCTGATCCCATTGCAGGAACCCTCTGCACTGACAACAGTCTAGGGAACCCTCTGCCCAGCGATGCGTATCATCAATACATATATCTAGCGGAATCCATCGCTTTCCAGATCAGACAACGTTCTCCAACTTGAAGGTTCGCCTTCGTCACAGACACATGGCCATAGATTCGAGAGGAGCAGCTGCACCTGGAAGCCCCCCGCTCAGCGATGCTGTGTAACTACCGCACTGATTGCATATATCGCCATTGAACTAAATGGCTGTTGAATATACTTGACAATTTATCCGCCTTTTGGCAGGTCTTATTTTTAATCCTGGTAGGTGTCAAGCCAGTCTCCTCGCCAGAGAAGCCTAGTGAATGAACCGGTTTCGTTACCAATGATGCGACTATGTGGAAGTTAGTACCAGATTACATTGTACCAGTATCACTTGCAAGGTAAACTGACATAAATCCAAACTAAGCAGATTAAATAGCTATTAAAATCATACAAAGGCAGTTCAGTAAAGAGTGAATGAAGACGTAAGAAAAAGAGGTATGAATTTATTAAATCTTACCGACGTGCGATCATTTTCATTAAATAGGAAGTCCGTTTCGCTGCCTGGTTAGGTCGCAAATTAAAATATCTGAAATCCACAAAAATCAAGGCACGTGTCAGTCACACTTTTTTCAACAGTGAATTGTTGATTCGGCGAAGATGTCGAATCTCACTTTTGTTAATTACTTGCCTAAGAATCATTTTTTTTAAAAAGAGCCTGGCTTAATCCGGTAAAAGGCCACGCTTTTAGAAACGCTTCATAAGGTTCGAACTTAAATATCTGGAATAAGTTTTAACAGTAAAAGGAAAGGGCGACATTGAAATTCTAAGGCGCACTGGAATAGCGAACGAAGCTTTTCAAAGACTAACCAAAGTATTAAGAAACAGAAAAAGTCTGATACAAAGAAAAAAAATACTGAACTGTTATCTAATATCAGTCCTGCTATATAACAGTGAATGCTAGACAATCTCCAGACAATGAAGACGAGACTTGAAACAACAGAAATGTTGTTCAAACGGAAAATGTTGAAAATACCATAAACTAATCATGTGAGCAATGGCGTATTTTTAAAGAAAATGGAAACAAAAAGGAGCCTTATCATCAGAAAGAGACAGCTGGAATTTCTCAGGCACACAATGAGGAAAGAGGGTTTGGAAAATTTGATACTCATAGGACAGATCGAAGGCAAATGGGAACAGAAGAAAACCTACCTAGCGAGCTTGAGTAAATGGATCGCAGAAGAGGGTTTAGGAGAGAAAGACAAAATGTGTTAAGTGCTACAAAGAACAATAAATGGGGGGGGGCATGATCACCAATGCTGTGAAAGGACACATATATGATGATGATGATGATGATGATGAAGAATGACCTGATGAGGCTGGTTTGCAAACAGAAATGGCCAATCAGCACCATCAGAATGTGCCAATTGTACCCATAACTCCTTCTTGTAGAATAACAATAATAAACAGCACTTACCGGCGTAAAGGTCCCAGCTAGCGTCCAGCTGGCAGACAAA